GAAATAGCGCAGCAGGGAGTCTCCAAAATAGCGCAGCAGCCAAGTTCCTGAACCAGCATAACGCTGGGTTTCTCCTGGTACCTTCTGTCCCCGAACTGGGCAACGGCCCAGCTTATGTAGCGCTGGGCCAGGACTGAAAACCCACGGCCTGCGTTCTGGGCCGTGCAGATCGAAATCCGATCCACGGTCCAGATCGCAGGCTTTGAAACTGGTTCAGCCCTTGGCCTAAAACGGCCTGCCTGGGTCCCTACCGGACGTCCAGGCCCTGTCCAGGATTCAGTTTCCTGGTACCTGGCTTCGAACCGGTCCTGTGCGGACGTATCCGGCCTCAACGTCGGCCTGGGTCCGAACAGGTAGCAATCTGTTCGAAAACAAAAGAAAAGGTCCAAACGTTTTTAGGAGCTCAGCCTCTGGGCCTGAATCTGGCCCTGGTCCTAAAACGTGTACCTGGCCACAAAACGGACAACAGTACAACCGTTAGAAAAACAGCAGCAAATAAATAAATAAAAGAATATAAAAATAATCTAAAGCTGGCGTTTTTCTGATGCAGGCCCAAGTAAGAATGCCATAGGGCCTTCAGGTTGCGGTGACGCGACCTGGGGGCCCTATTCCACCCTCGGGTCCCGTGAGGGGCCCGTGTGTAGGCTTTCAGCATGTAACACGCCCCCCTCCTTATGAAGACGAGCCGGGGCGCGGGCGAAGCTGCCGATCCATTGGCGGAATGTAGCGAGGAAGGCGAGGAGATGGAGTGCTCGGCGTAGTCTTCCCTTTGCTAAGATAACGTGAGAGAACGGCAGGAGCTGTGGCCTGCAGTTCCGAACGCGTCAGCCAACGGTCAGCCTTGTGGCTGCAGTAGGAAAAGTGAAGATGAAACTCTGTTTCTTTGTTGCCATGGCGCCGGTCGGTGATGATGTAGCCGGCCTCCTGGAATCCGTCCATGGAAGGGGGGTCTTGCATACGTCGACCGGGAAACTCGTCGGACTCCGCTGAGACGAAAGGAGCGAGTTTGGAACAGTGGAACACCGTGTGGACGGGCAAGTGAGGTGGCACCGCGATGCGGAATGAAGGCCCCTCGGGATCATCACCAACTGCGGAGATAATGCGCCAAGGCCCCATCCACTTGGGAAGGAGCTTGCGAGAGATGTCTTGCTCGAGGCTGAACTCCGCGGCGGAGACCCAAACCAGATCGCCGGCGCGGAATGGGCAAGGAAGGCGATTGCGGTTGGCTTGACGGCTCATCCGTATTTGCGTCTTCGACATCTGATCCCGTGCCTTGACAAGAAGCTCTTGCATGCGACGAAGGAACGCAAGATGGTCGTCGCTCTCGGCTGTGCGTGGCAAAGTGGCGTCCAGCGGCGATGAGATGGGTGAACCGTGCTCAAACTCGAATGGCGACATCCCGATAGCCGGATGGATCGATGAGTTATAAGCCAACTCAGCGTCTGGCAAGCGCTCAACCCAATCAACCTGGTCGGGACGGATGAGAGTGCGTAGAAGGACTTGAGCGGCCTGATGCGCCCTTTCCGTTTGACCATCGGTTTGCGGGTGGCGAGCCGAACTTGGCTTCAAAAATGAGCCCCATCGCTTGACAAGGGCGACCCAAAAGTCGGAGAGAAAGCGAGTGTCCCAGTCGCAAACGATCTTCTTGGGGTAGCCCTTGTAGCGAATCTAACCGGTGTATAAGACCTCGGCTAACTCCGGTGCCTTTGCGTAATTGCGGCAAGGCAAAAACATGGCGTACTTGGTGAGGCGGTCGACGACCGTGAGGATCCCATCAACGTCGGTCTTGTGCTTCGGGAAGGGGCCGGTGATATCCATAGCAATTGCTTCCCGTCGCCGAAGGGGCACTGGTAATGGGTGTAGCTCGCCGAACGGACGATGGTTGCGTGACTTGCAACTCCGACAGACTTCGCATGACTCACAATAGCGGGTGGCGTCCTTGAGAAGGTCGGGCCAATAGAACCGCAGGCGAAGTCAGCCAAGTGTACGGTTGACACCAAAATGTACGGAGGCGGGCGCATCATGAAACTCGCCAAGAAGCCGTGTGCGCAAGTGTGAATCATTCGGCACACAAAGAAGATCCTTACCCCGTGAATGCACAAGTAAGTAGCCCTTTTGGATCCGATAATGCGAAGGCACCGGATTCGGAGAGGAGCAATTCGCGTACTTGTCGCGAAAGTGGGGGTCGGCTTGATAGCCGCAGATGAAGCTCTCCCACAAGTTGTCGTCGATCTCGAAGGTAGAGTAGACTGCGGTGCAAAGATCCGGTCGCCGTGAGAGGGCGTCCGCAAAACAGTTTGACTTCCCGGGAATGTGATCGGGGAAAAAGTCAAACTGGTCGATGAAGGTCATCCAACGGGCAATGGTACTGTTAATCGTGTCTTGCGACTTGTAGAATAACAATGGATTGTTATCCGTTACCTATCGGAATGTTTTCCGACCAAGGAGGAAATGTCGCCAACGCTTGAGGGCGTGGACGAAGGCAAGAAGCTCCTTCTTCCGTGCGTCGTCAATCAAATGTACGGGAGGTACTTTCTTGCTAAAGTACTCGACCGGGTGTCAGTCCGTGCCATCGTGCTGCTCAAGGACGGCCCCAATGCCATAGCCCGACGCATCGGTAGTGACGCGCGTAGCTARAAGCGGGTCGTAAATATGTAACACCTCGGCGGATAAGAGTGYCGCTTTGAGTGTTTCAAAAGAATGACGCGCACCGTTATCGAAGTCAAAAGGCCGCTCCTCACTTTGTAACTTGCTTAGGTTGGCCACGATCTTTGAGTAACTCTTGATGAAACGCTGATAATAAGCGGCCAAGCCGAGAAAGGATTGGACGTCCGTCACATTCTTCGGCTCGGGCCACTCCTGGATGGCTTGAATCTTGTCCGCCAACGGACGAATGCCTTCTGGAGAGACAAAATGACCCAAGTATTCAAGCTCTTGCCGGACAAACTCGCATTTGTCGCGGTAAGCTTTGTACCGTGCTAACCGAAGAGTATCTAGAACACGGCGAATGTGCTCGAGATGCTCCTCGAGAGTTCGGCTATAGACGAGGATGTCGTCTAAGTAGACCAAGACGAAGCGGTCTACCATAGCGCGAAACTCGATGGTCATGGCCGCCTGAAAGGTGGCCGGGGCATTGGTGAGGCCAAAAGTCATAACTACCCACTCAAAATGCCCATATCGCGTCTTAAACGCGGTTTTGTACCGATCTTGCGGGCGGATGGAAATCTGATGGTAGCCCGACTTGAGGTCCAACTTGGAAAAGTACTTGGCGACGCCCAACCGCTCAAGCAAATCATCAATGCGAGGTAGAGGCCCCTCGTTCTTGATGGTTTGCGCGTTGAGGCATCGGTGGTCAATGCAAAGTCGAAGGTCCTTGTTCTTCTTCCGAACGAAGAGAACGGGCGCACCGTAAGGTGAGCTGCTAGGGCGGATTCAACCCTTGTCAAGTAGATCGTCGAGTTGCGCACGGAGAACCGTGAGCTCCTCCTCGGACATGCGATAAATGCATCCTTTCGGTGGCACGACGGCGGCCTCAAGTATGATCTCGTGAGAGATTGGCCAGTCCGGCACTATACCGGAGGGTGTCTCAAAAACATCCGAGAACTCGTCTAACAACCGGGTCACACGGGGGTCGGAAGACACATCCGTGGACGATGAATCGGTCGTCGGGACGGTTCGAAGAAAAGTGATGCCAATCTCTTCCACATGCTCAGAATGGCATGTGTCTCGAAAAGATTTGGCACTCACGACTTGGCACCGAATGGAAGAGCGAGGAGGAGGAATAGTACACGGGACCTCGGCGCCAGTTGCATCACGAATCGTGAGCGTGCGTCGATGGAAATTGACCGTGTGGTCCGCGCTAGAAAGCCAAGGCATCCCCAAAATGACATCGAAGTCGGTGTCCAACACGTCAAAAGTGACGGGTTCACATGCGTGCGGTGCAAAGTACACCGGGACAGCCGAGATGTAACGGTCCAAAAGYTGTTTCGTCTTACCGTCGGCAAGAGCGACCGTCGTTGGATGTGACTTCCTCCGTAGTTGTGCGCCAAGACCAGCCCGAGTCATGAAGGACTGGCTGATGAAGTTGCGAGTTGCGCCGCAATCTAGCAAAGCGTTGCAGGCCGCTTGCCCAATCTGAATGCGAACGTAGAGCAACGGTGCGTTGTTTTCTTCGTACCGTTGCGAGACAAACTCGCGGGCCACCTTGGCAACATAGCCAAGCATGTCCCCCACCGCGACTTCGTCTACCGTCGGCGAAGTTGGTGGTGCATGGAAGGAAAGATACTTGTGTAAGAGGGCGCATAGGGCTGCGCTTTGCGGCCCTGAAAGGTTGCCCGTCGTAGGGAGAGGAACCCAAGCGAAATCCTCGGGCGTGAGAGGGTCCAAAGCCTCCTCGTTGAACACGCTTGCGGAATCCCTTGATGAAGACGAACTGGCGGAAGAACCTTCGGGCGGTGAGAAAGCTGCACATGTATCTTGTCCTTGAGAAGCATCTAGTGAAGGAACGAGCCGGGCAGCGAAGTCTTCGTACGAAAGTGGAAGACTCCCGACATCCACATATGCCTCGGAAGAAAGGGCGGTTGTGGCCACAACTGCTTCCGGTGGCGTTGAGGGAGGTGTCGAGTCACCCTCCGCGGCGCCTACTTTCCCGGACGGGGTTTCCCCTTGGTGGGGCAATGTGCAGCATCGTATGGTGCTGTTGCACCAAAGGCAATACCGGTACTTGAGTCGCGTGCGATAGAAATTCGCCGAGAGTCCGTATTGCGCCCAAGGTTCGTCGGCTGCTGATCCGGTGCTCGGTGTAGAGGTGGACTGAGTATTCGTCTTGTCGCGGCCGTGGTTGTTGCGCGGCCGGCCACCATCCCGGGCAGCTGCCAACACTTCACCCTCGTTTGGTGTTGCAGCCTCGGTAGAAGTAATGCAAGTCACCTTTGGCTTGGGCTGGGTGCCGCTCGTCATCGCGGAAGATCGGCCGACGTTGCGGGCTTCGATATTCGTGAGAATGATCCGTGACGCTGTGCTGAAAAGCTTGTCAGATGTGTCGAGTGTCTCCGCAATCTGAGTCAGCGCGTTTTGCAGAGCTGGACATGAGCGCATGATAAACAAGTGCTTGATGGCGTGGAAAGCGAGCGGCAGGTTAGGTGTGGAGGTGAGTCTTTGGAACTCGGTAATCCTGTCCTGACTGAGCAGCGTGTTATGATGGAGCTTGTTGAGCTTGTCCATCGCTTGCAGGTCGGTCGGCTCCACTTGGAATCGCTTGTGCCAGGCGTCAGTCAACTCCTGCCAAGTGAGCTTGGTGTGTAGTTTTGACACTGCTACGTCGTGGCTGGTCAAGATGTTGCCCAGCCATGCTTGACACGCACCACCAGATCGGTGGTACAAGCACGGATGTCGATCGTTGTTCGGGACATGGTGCATGTCAAGCCTGAGAGTAAGCTGGCGCCACCACGGGATCGATTCCGTCTTGGACTGATCGCAGAAGACTGGAATGTCATCTAGCTTGGGTGGGCGCCTGGAGGATGCAGCGGCGGGCGTCACGGTGGCAGCAGCCTGGACCTGCATCTCCAACTGCAAGTTCGTTGCTTGCTTCGATGTCCTGAAGTCCTGATGCTCACGCTTGATATTGCTGACGTCGTCCTCCAAAACTTGAACACGGGTGGCAAGGTTTGAAGGCCCTGCGGCTGCTACAACAGCTGGCTGTTTTTCCAACGCCTGCAGCCATGCGAACATCTGGTCCACTGTCTGCTGCAGGTGAAGGATTTCCTCCTGCTGTAGAGCGCGGGTGGCCACAAGGTCGTGGGAGACCTGCGCAAGGGCGGACAGCCCTTTCTCAGTCTATGGGGCGCCGTCTGCAGATGCCACTTCCACCCAATGTACGGCCTCATCGCCGATCACGGTCTCCCGCGTGAACAGTCGTTCCCGCTGGCGTGACCGGTGTTCGGCTGCCGCCTGCAGGTCTGCCTCCTCTTGACGAAGTCGGTCCTGTTCCTCCTTCTGTCGCTTGGCCTCCTCCTCTTGTTCAAGCCGATGACGTTCCTTGGCCGCGGCGGCGGCCCTATCGTTGGCCTCCTGAATGAATACCGCCAGGCGTTCCTCATAGGCCAGGAGGGATTCTCCCGCCTTCCGGTCCATGGCCTTGGTCTGTGATCGAGTGAGCAGTGTCATGCACTGTTGTGCCCGAAGTCTGAAGAGTCACCTGAGGGCCAATCTGACGGACTGGCCCAGTACCCGGACTGAAGGGGGAGGAACAGGTAGGCAGCAGACAGGTGGGAAGGATCGGACAGATCCCAAGTTGAACAGTTCCCTAATCAAAAAGAAAAATAATAATTTTTTTTTTTGATTAAGAAATAAATCAAAATTCGAAAAGAAAAGACTGTCCAATACCACTAAGTGCCGAAGGTGATGCAGAACGCAATTGTGAACCTTCGGTGCTCTAACTGCAGAAAAACAGAAAAGAAGTATCTTTACAGCTCAGAGTAGGAGTAGGTAGCAAAAAGAAAAAAAATGTCGTTTTTTTCTTTTTTTTTTTTGAAAAAAAAAGAACGGGATTTGCAGACCTACGAAGTGAAAGTGTAGAGGGACAGTTTCGGAAAAAAGAATCACAAAATTATCAAAATGCAGACATTTAACAATTAAACAAGGTGAAAAAAAATTCGGAAAAAGAATTCTCAGAATGAAAAAAAAATTCTCGGAAACCAAATTTCGCTGAAAAATAATTTTTCGGAAAATAATAATAATTTCTCGAAGAATTTTCTCGGAAAAAGAAAAGAAATAATTTCTCGAAAAAAAAATTCTCGGAAAAAAAAATAATTTCTCGGAAAAAAAAATTCTCGGAAAAAGAAATAATTTCTCGGAAATTTTTTCTCGGAAAAAAATAATTTCTTGGGAGAAAAAAAATAATTAAATAATCAATTCCGGGAAATTTCCAAGATTAAATAAACAATTGCCAAATAATCAATCAATCAATCAATCAATCAATCAATCAATCAATCAATCAATCAATCAATCAATCGGTCAAGTTTAGATGGTTGCTGGTTGATTGATCGATTATTCGATCAATCTCCTGATTGACTAATCAATCGAAGATTGATTGGTGGCAAACCGCCAATCCAATCAATCAATCGATTGATTGGTTGTTGCCAAGATTCATCGCCAATGCTCCGATACCACTTGTAG